TAAAAATATTATTTTACATCTAATATTTCAAGCAGTCCTTGGCTATTTTTTTTTTTTTTTTTTAGCTATTTGCTCTTTTTAGCTGTTGTAACTTGTTCTAGCCACGAGTTCCACTTCTCATTAACTGGGTTGGTCACTGATTATAGCTGAAATTACAAATAGAATTATTAAATAGAGATTATTCTGATACCTGAGAACACTAAATACCTTTTTAAAGGGTATTTTCTTAGCATAATCCGGTAAGTTGTTTGAGATAAATTGAATTATAATTTCAAATGTAGTGGAAAACACAGAATGGATGATAAGTTAGTCATTAGAAACAGTACAATGGGATGAGAGTGGGAAATTTGAGAAACTTACTATTCAAATTCAAAACTTGTTAAGTTTGGAACCTTATTCCGTGTTGCCAGATCCATGCTAGCAGAGTGAAGAGAAGAATTGAGACAATTATCCACATGATTCAGACAAAAAATTAAGATCCAAACCCAAACAGTTTTGCCCAAATAATCTTGTGTTTGAATATTTTTTTGCCTGAATTTTTTTGTCTCAGTTTGCCACTTCATTTTGTTAGGCTAGATCTTCATTAACAATTATTTTTCTGAACGATAAAGATAATATCTTTTTTTCACTTGGATCTTCCACTTAGTACATTCATTACTTTACGTTTGAAAACTAACTTATCAGAAGTTCATCAATCCTATGGCCCTTGAAAGTTTTGCATTTTTTTTCTGAAGCAATATAAAAAATGCTTATGGTGTGTATGCAAGCTGCTGTTTTAATTAACTTTCCTGAATTTCAAACATCTATATTTTACTCTCTTATATGCTTTTAACTAAGGTATAGTAGATGCATTTTTGCTTCAATACTAATTTAAGGTGTAATATTCATTTCTTTAGAGAACATTTTTGTTGTTGTGCATGCCTAGTGTTTTGTACGTTGTATATTGCATTCAGAATATTTTTTTCCTTCTCACCTATCCACAATGCAATGCCGTTCCCATGATGCACCTCTGCTTGCTGTTTACCTGTATGTTAATTCGCTTGAATCCCATTGGCCCACTGCCATCATGTGCTCGCTGCCTGTTATTAAAAGACTCAGTCGACTGCCAAAGCAATGAAGCGACCTCTCGAAGCATCTGTAGACCTGGTACTTTGACCTTTCACCTTTCGCTTTGCATGTAGCTTTTCAGAGAACCATCTGAGATTTGTATTACTTGTAAAAATTGGTTGCAAATGATCATTATTATTAATTAATGGAAAAAAAATAAGGTGTTTAGCCATCTCATTTTCATACGTAATATGTGAAATAAATTAATCCTAACAAATTTTAATACCTTTTCCAAAAGAGTGAAGCAAATTTAAATTACTTGCCTCGGAAAAATGTGCATTATAATTCTTATTAACCTTTAAATCCAAGAAATTGCCGTTTAGTTAACGAAGAGAATAGGTATTAATAACACAAATGCTTCTTTCCCCCCTTAGAATAGTTTAACTCGTTTTAAAAGCTGAAGTCATTTTTTATTTTATTATTTATTTATTTATTTATTTATTTATTTATTTATTTATTTTGGTGTTGCTTGATAGTTTTTCTTTTCCTTAGTTGAGATGCTACCGTTTTGGGTTACAGAAATCATGCTTCCGCTCTCAATAACAAATTCTCACTCATTCGACATTGCCGCTGTTTAAATTAAGGTGCATGGCAGAGGCATCTCCTTAGCTGTCATTTTGAAAGAGAATGTTGGACTTGATGATCTCTGTGGACACGGAAGGTGTAGTTACTTTGAGTTATACATGTCCTATCCGATTCTTTCCTCATAGGCCTTTCCCCCCGGTGCTCTTCATCCTTTACCAAAGAGACAAGCACTTGAAAAAAACAACGGTGCCAGCACGGTGTTCAATCCCAGCGTGCTGCACTACCAGCAGGCTCTCACCAGCGCCCAGCTGCAGCAACACACGGCGTTTATTCCAACAGGTACGTGCCCTGACAGCTCCAAGTCCCGTGTCCGTGTGCCCTTCCGGTCATGTGCTTTCTCCTCATCCCTCAAAGCTGTTCGGTGGCATCTAGTTTGCTTGTAAAGGTACAGTCAGTACAGCCTGAAGCTCATCATTGTCCTAGCTAGCTAGATACGTTTACTTTGCTTGGATGATAGCGAAAGACTGTCAGGTTTCTAAAGCCAAATATTTTAGAGAGTTGAGTGACAGACTGAACCCATGAGACGCAAAGAGTGGTCAGTTAGGCCTCTTGGTTTCTTGTATCTGCACATGCTGTGTAAAATTGTTTATGTCAGTAGGGCCTTTTTATGTGTGACAGTTCAGATTTGTCATTAACCCTGAATGACCTAAAAATAGCAATTCCAGTAAATACTAACCTTTTTTTTCCCTATTCCTATTCAGAGCACTAAACAAAAAACCAAGGCTGTTCAAATTAAAGCGATCTTCTTCTCATATTTTACATCCATTCTCTCTCTTTCTCCATCGTTCTCAGCTTCACCAAGTGCACAAATAGATAGGGCTCTTACTCGCAGTTTCTAAGCCAATGCCTGATAGTCTTAGCTGCTCAGGTCCATTAACTGTATCATTCCACTAAAAGATGAATTCTATTAATCACAGAATCTCGAAGTTTAAAGGATTCTTAGTGATCTCCTCATCCAGTCGATCGTTTTACAGATGAGAAAACTGAGGCCCCCTAAATGTGAGGTGACTTCCCAAGGTGGCACAGCTAATGAGACAAGGACCCAGCACCTAGTTTCCCCGTGACCGGTCCGACGTACCGGGACATGACACCACCCGGCTTCCGTATGTGGAGTCACAGAGTTCTCCCTTACAGCTCGGCAGACATAAAACATCAGATAAAAGTGAAGAAGCAGAAGTGCAAAGCATGTCAACCCTCCTCCTTTTTGTACCCACCTCCCTGACCCCAGACCTACACACACCATATACGAACACAAAGTCATCATATATTGACCATGGTATTGACTTTTCAGTCTGTGTTAGAAGCAGGGATAATGTCCCCAAAATAAATAAAGTCTCCTCCTACTGTTTAAAAAAAAAAAAAAGCGAAGAAGAAGAATCAGAGAGTAACTTAGGCTTTTGTGAGAAGACGGTCCACTGAGTTCTTAGTTCGGAAGTCAAAATTTTCATCCCATGATAGTGACTGGAAGGTAAATATAGATGAACAACAGTTTTATCCAAAAGAGCTTGTTGGTCCTAATCCACATGGTTGGACTTTTTGGGTTTATTTTCCATTCCTTTAAATCCTGTAGCATATCAGGAATTAACGTGGGAGGGAGTAGAATCGCTATTTCTGTGGTATTCTTTGTGTAAAAGTTACACTTTGAAATGAATTGTCAACCTTTTAACAATATTTATTACAGTAAAGATATAAGTTATGTGAGGAAAATGGTTCTTAATGTTTAGTTTTCCTATTTTACTTCCGCTTTTCTCTTAAGTAGATTCATAGACCTGTGGAGTGAGTTTCTATATCAGTACTTATTGGGACTTCCCTCCTGTTCTATTACAACCTTAACTAGTGACATTTCAGTGCAGGGATAGCACAGCAGGACTTGTCATTGTAATCCACTAGATATAACATGTTTGTAAAATAATAACTAGTAGGTAAACTTAACCTTGAGGTCTCGTAGGATTTCTAGAAGCGTCTTATTTTATAGACCTCGTCACTAGATATTTGAAGAGAAAAAAATCAGGGAAGAATGTACAGAGGGGTAAAACATAAAAGGACAAGTCTGTTTCTGGAGACTGGGTAATAATTTCAGAACAATTTCCTGAGAATGCCTTTGAAACCCTGGAACTTAGTCGTGTAAAAATGTGAAGGCCTCTTAACTCGTATTTAACACTTCAATCCAATAATGACTGCTCTATTAAATCACTGAAAGAACCCTCACTTAAAAATGTTTCACCTGGAAACCATTTAAAGACTTCCAAAGCAAGAATGGATAACATCCTTTATGCAGTGACCTGATTATTGCTGATGAAATGATTGTATCGAGGAGCGATAGGCTGTACTGGTTGCTGTGCTTGAGTACTTCTGCCCCCTGCTGGATTGTTTAAAAACTGTCCGTGTGTCCGGCAACCCTCAATTGTGTGCACTTTGGGAGCCGAAAAGTGGGTCCTAGCCCACTTAATTCTGTGAATTACAAGTGTTTCCATCTGTAACATGATATCAATATCATAGTGAACAACCATGTGGCTCTCGTGCTCTGAAATGGTATATCAACTTCTAAGAAGTTTTCACATGTTTTTCTTAAATGATGAAAGAGAAAATAATTTTCTCAAAAGGCAGTTAGTGTAATCTTTCCCCCACTTAAACCCAGAACAGAAATTTTAGTGTTTACCTTGGCTCTAGCTTTTATTTCAGGCTTTCTTTCTCATAAACCACATTTTCAACTTAATTTTAAAATGGTAATGATAATGATCATTGTTAATCACTGTTGTCTTAAACGTCTGCAAATTAAGTGATGATGTTCAAAAATAAGTTTTGTAACTTGGCAGATGGGTGGGCCCATTATTTTTAACATGACAGATTTTGATTTTTCTATAACTACTTTATATTAATATCGATCCTATATGAAACAAAAAGCATTTCGTGTTCTCCTGGAGGCCACCCTTTACCAAAAAGTCATTCATAGTGGAATTTTGGGGGTTGTTTTTTTTAAGATCCCTAACTTTTATTTCTTTTTTTTTCCCCCCACTGAGGTATCAGTGACATGGAACACTCTATCAGGTTCAGGTGTACAACATAATGATCTGATATTTGTATACACTGTGAAATGATCACCACAGTATGTCTACCTACCATCTGTCACCCATAGTGAAGTTTTTGATATGTTACTAGAACTTTCCCAATGACACAGTATGAATTTGGATGTTAGGAATTCTGCCTCCAGACTGTGGAGATAGTAATGTAAAATATCATGCAAAATATGGGATTCCTCTCCCAAACCATGCTAACATAATTATCACCTTGGTTGGTGCCCTAGCACGTTTGTGGTGGGTAGGACTTTTCCTTTTCTCCCTTTTTTTTTTTTTTTTGATAGGGATTATTTTAATCTAGGAGTTATACTTTTTCTTTGCTATGTTAGGAAAGCAGCAAAAACCACACACACTTACAAAAATAGCAGGGTAATAATTCTTGGCATTTCTCTGACAGGTTTATTCTGAGTTACTCTAAGTGTTCTTAGAGGCATTTTCTCATTATTCTTCAAGATCATTCTGGCAGCAGCAGGCGTAATTATTGGCATTTTGCAGATGGAAAAACCGAGGCTGTGTCTATGCTGCAAAGTGGAAAATATAATTAATGGAAATATCCAGAGAACCCTAACTCACAGATTCTAGAGTTGGAATATTTCTGCAACCAAAGCAGAGAATAGTTGAGAAGTCTTTGTTGAGAGAGTTAGTGCCTTAGTGAAATGCCTCAGCCGGTCAGAACAAAACGACCCACCGACTCTTTCCTTGATATATTTCATTGTACTGGATGTACAGAATAACCAGAACAAGGAAAAGTGTTAGCACAAATATTGCCTAATGATCAGAAACCATAATGTTATGTAAGGTTATCACACACCTTGGTGAAAGATTTGTCAGCATTCAGTGGAAACTGTATCTGTACAACCACAGCAGAATCTATTTGTCCCACTTAATTCAGCAAACAGTTCTTGAACACATAGTAAGTTCTGGGTTCCAGATCCAGTAATGAGAATACAACGAAGAGGCAAAAATCAATACAATGCAGAGCATTAAGGGCCCCTTGGGGCATGAGCAAAGCTATTTGAGAGGGCAGCAAGAGGCAATGCATTAGGGCCATCAGCTTGTGCAGTGGGTGGTGGTGACAAAGGATCCCGAGAAGGAAAGAACTCTCCAAAGGAGAAGAAGTTTGCTTAGGACTTTGAAAGGAACGTTTTCCCAGCGGAGGAAGAGCATCCCAGGCAGGGGAGACAGCCCAGGTTGGGGACAGCATATTCGAGGAAGAGCAAGTTATCCGTTTTAGCTGCAGCATAAAGTATTTAAGGGGCAGGAGGAGGGTGCAAGGGCAGAAAAGAAGAGGAGAACCAGAATCTGGCACTGAGTAAGACAGCCACGCAGAGCAAAAGCTATTTGTTTCCAATATTCATATCGTTTGTAGAGCACACAGAGAGAAAGAGAGGCTCATGAAATTAATTTGGTTGAGCATTTCAACCACATCCTGAACTGAAGCTGAAGTGACACATTCAATCCCGGCTCAGTGTGGCTGCTGGAGCTGCTGTAGATGGTTTTCAACCCAGTGACATTCGCATCCGTGACACAAGAAAGCCCTCCAAGAAAACCCCTCCACGTGGGAATGCAACAGAATTTTTATGGGCCTAACTTTGAATCCAGCCATGGTTCACTCTGAAATGAAATCATTTACAAAGTGGGTACATACATTTGAGGAAAAGGTTGATCCCACTGCACTCACTAATGGCAGAGAACACCCATTCAACCGACTGTCCACCTACCGTGTGCCCCAAAGACCTAGACAGACAATGAACACTGCCCTCCCAGAGTTAACAGCAGAGGAGGAGAGATGGATGTTCAAGAAATGCCCATATAACTATGTAACTTAAATGTTTTATAAATCCTATGAATGAAAAAGTAGAGTTCAATACGCTTGAAAATAGAAAACTGATTTAAATGGCATGTGGAGGTAGGTAAAAGAGCAATTGAACAGTTTTCTAAAGAAGTGACATGTGCCTTGAGACCTGGAAGATGAAAAGAGTAGGGCGAAGATAATTCCAGGCAGAGGGGACAGCTTGTGGGAAGCCCAAAAGTAGGACAAAAGTGCGATGTGTTCGGTTCAAAGAAATGGTAGACTAATCTGCCCGGGTCACAGTGCCAGCCTCCAGAGAGGGGTATAGAACAAGCCAGGGAGATAGACACTGGACCCTAGGGGACCTTTATCCTAAAAGCAATGAGAAGGCAGTGAATTGTTTCCAGCGGAGAAGCGAACAGACCTGTATTTAGAAAGGTTTACTCTGACAGCAGAGTGGAGACTGGATTAGGCAGGAGACAGGAAGGCAAGCAGGAAGACCAGTTAGGACATCATTACAGGGCCAAGGCTGGAGACAATGGCGATCAGGACCGGAGAAGTGGCAGTAGAGACGCACAGACGGACAAATGCAAGATGCATTTTAGAAGCAGGATTGCTTTGGCTTTTGGGTGAGCCGGAGCAGGGAATTTCAAGAGGGAAGGCGGATGCATAAATGTGGAAGCCTTGAGCTCATAGACAGTATTTAAATCCCGGTTGAATGGTATCATGAATTGAATGATGCCTGGAAAAAGCATAGAGTAGGTGAAAAGGAGCCAGAAGTGAGTCCTGAAAAACTCCAGCATATAGAGATATAGAGTATGTGTGTGTGTGTGCGTGCACGTGTGTGTCTGGGTTATCAGAAAATCCAAGGGAAAAGACTAGTTTATTATGGAGGGAGGGGCTGAGTGCCAAATGTTACCAAGACTCAGGAAGTTAGATGAAAGTGGAAGAGTTCCTACTGATTGCACAAATACGGAGTTCTTGGTGACATTAGCAGTTGGAGGGAAGATGTGAAAATGAAAGCCAAAGTGGAAAAGATTGAAGAATATGTGGGGTCGAGGAAGTGAAAATTATTGTGCAGGTAACTTTTCAGAAGTTCGGTTATGAAGATTAGAGAGATAGGGTGAGAGAAAGAGAAGGAGAAAGAATCCTGTCGTCAACAGGATTTTGAGATGTGCGTGTGTGTGTGTGTGTGTGTGTGTGTGTGTGTGTGCTAAATCAGACATATTAGCACGTGTTTGCTGAAGAATCCATTAAAAGCCCAGTTAAATAGCTTCTTTTCCTGACTAGTTAATGTTAGCCTGACCAAAATGTACATCAGGCAGAAAGTACCCGTCAGGTGTGAACAGTTTGGCAGAGAGAATAAAGGCCTTCACATCTCAGATTCTTCGCCTAGTATCTCAGAAGACAATTCTAAAACCCTAAATGTGTACATCCATTCGTTAAAAAGAGTTTTCCTTTATTCATTACAAACGAATGTTCTGTCACCTACATGACCCCAACCTTCAGGTATCTTATATTACATTACCTTGATTTTTAGTCTAAGGAACTGAACCTGAAGTAGGTCATTCATTTTTTTCCGTACTCTACAACACACATTTCTCTTCATGGTCAGAGTTTTCTGATTCAAGCACATTAATACGACCACCCCCAGAGAAGGCAGCTATTCCCCTGGAAGGAATGAAATCTTCCCTCCCTCCCTCCACCTGGAGGCCAACCTGATTTCCTAGTTTTGCCAAAGGTCTCCCTCAGAGATCACCGACTAGTAGCCATGACAAAATCGCTAGCCCTGGTCCTAACTCAGCCCCAGTTCTGCACTATTTTGCCTCTACGCTATTCAAGCTTTGTTGCCAGCACCACTTCTTTATAATGATGAATCTCGTAGCAGAAAACAGATCACATACACATCGAGGTCATTTTGTCACAAGAATGTCAGTCTTCCTAAACTGTAGGGCTTAGGAGCAATAATCCCAAATTCACATGACCTGCGAGCATTTGACTTGGAGGATATGGAATCTTAATTACTGCTTTTATTTTCATATTGTTTTTGACACGAAACAAGCACAGTTTTAATGCAGTAAGGTCAGCGTAATCTAGTAAAGACAAAACCTGACCTGGATTTAGGAATAGAATTCTATTTTGAGCCTTACCCTTGACTCACACTATGCATGACCTTGGAGTAGTTACTATGCCTCAGATTTTTCATCTGTAAAATACCTACTTCCTACCTTAGAGGATGACCTTGATATTGTCTGTAAAATACCTTGAGGTCTTAGAGGAAGGACACTGTAGCATTGTCACATGTCACTCTTATAAGAATCATTTCGATGGATGTGAATAAGAAGTGTGAAGAGTAAAGAGTGAGCTTTGAGTAATATTGGCTTCCAATAAGTCAGATATATTTGTGTCTGTACTAAAAATGTGAGTAACTCTAAGAGACTGTGTTAACTAACCCTACTGATTTCTGGTTGTGCTTCAATCTCACTTTGAATGTTAACTCTAAACCGCTAACCTGTTTCTTTCCCTTTATTCACTTTTTCCACCTGCCATTGCATGACATGCAGGGTCAGTTTTGTGCATGACACCCGCTACCAGTATTGGTAGGTTTCAACCTTTTTTTATGTGTCTTTTATATTGTGTACAGTACCTTCACTTGCTTGAAATTTATTTCCAAGATGGTAGAAATGCTTGAGGAAATGGTAGATCTGAAGGCTTATTTGGCTTTAGAGTTAATGTATAGGTTTTTTTTTTTTTAAATGTACTTGTAACTTGAAGAAAATGACCATTTCAATGTGACCAGAACAGCAGAGCAACCACTACAAAACATAAAACCACAAGTATTGCTTTTTTAATGATCTGTATTCTGTTTCTCTTTATAGTTTATATGGTTTAGCATAAGAAAAAGAAAAGCTTACTTTATCAGAAAGGCAGGCTAATTTCATCAGTGTTTTAAAGTTTCATAGTGGTGTGCCTTTATCTCCTCTTTGCTGTGTGTTAGAGTTATCAGAGTTTCCCAGAAGTATTTATTTTTTAAAATTATGAATGGATGTATTTTGAAAACCAATGTCTGAACTGCTTTGCTTTATTATCGATTTTTTAATTTTAAGTGTTGACTTATTTGTGATGATGATTTGTACCTTAGCACTCCCTTAGATGTTAAATTTTAATAATCCATAGTTATCCCTACACATCCAGTGCCTTGGTACAAAAGTCCGTCTTTAGGACACGCGGATTCGTCCCATTTAGAATAAAGAGAAATAAACATTGGCCAAATTTCCTGGGCTGTTTCACAGCAACTGTGTTAGAATTAACACCAAGGCCTCGAGTTTTTGCTCTACCATTTATTAACCCCCCAAACCCCACAACCTCCAGCAATTTCAGTTCAAAAAAGCAGCCCCAAATTGACAAAAATTTTCCATCCCACCACAATGAACTCCAAAGGATGTCCTACCCCAAACTGGGCCTACACGTTGAGCCTTGGATGTTTTAGAATGACAAAAATGAATATCGTATACCTTTACTTCATTGGACATTACATGTCACTTTTTTAGAGGAGACCATTAGTACGTAACAACCACAGACGCCGGATTGGGAATGATCTATTGTTAGAAGTAAAATGTTTATGAATACATCAACCAAAGTGATCCGCTTTGGCCTTTCTGGGAATCACTGATTATGTTTTAAAACTTCCTTTAATTGTACTTGTAATAAGCTATTTTCCCTTTTTTATTTCTCTCCCATGCTTCCTTGCTTTGCATTGTGATTGCATGCCATCTGCTGGTTTAACCCATGATGGCTTGCTGCTCTGATATTCACCATGCCAAAATACCACTTCTATTACCATAATGCTACACCCTCCTGTTCATTGCTCCCATGGTACCCCTCCTGAAAGTACCCATGATGCACAGCGCTACGTCAGCCACTGTCTCTGCAGCAACAACTCCTGCAACAAGTGTCCCCTTCGCAGCAACAGCCACAGCCAATCAGGTTTGCTCCTTTTAAAGCTTTCTTTCACAAATCCCAAACTCTAAATGAGTGCTGATATTTAAAAAAAAAATTCTCGGTGAGAATTTTTTTTTCATGTTTATCCATCAAATTTTATTTTTTTAATTAGTTTATAGCCAGCATTTATGGACAGGTTGCACTTATTTAGAGTTAACATTTACTGCAAATAATGATGTAGCTATGTTTTGTGTTGCACTGTTTGTTTTCGTACCTAATATTGTGTAATTAACCTGACAGGCTTAAATTCCTTTTAGTACAGCATTACGTATCCAGTGGTTTGTGAATTGCCACAGAGAAACTGTAAAAGCTGAGCCGGAAAACTGGCTATATTTCCATTCGGTTCATTCAGACCCTATCACCTGCTGGGGAGGAAAAAAAGTTCTCCTCTGAGAAAAGTCTCCCCTTTTTCCTTCATGTCAAATTTGAGGTCTGAATGATTCTTGTCCACATCTCGCCTTGGTCGTATGTGCTCCCAAACTCACTGGTCCCCACTTCACAATTTGTGTAGAGATATTGGCCTAAGAACCAGAGCATACTGGAAGAGAAATACTAGGCACTGAGTTCACAAAGGCTGGATATAACTAATTAGGGGTGTTTAACTCTGTTGGTTTAACGCATGTGCCGGAAAGACCATGGATGTCCTATTTCTCAGTGAGAACCAGTTGGCTGTTTCCCACTCTGTAATCACAGGCTGACCGTCACCCTAACCCCAGCCAACCAACTTGCAAACATGTGCTCCCGCATGGGAGAGGCACATGAGGACTGCTGAGGGTAAACTCTTAACCTCGCCTAGAAAAACACGTTACTGCGCATGCCCTCCCTTCATAGAAGAGCAATGGTTTTGGTTCTGCTTTTTAGCTTAATTTTTTTTTTAAAGTAAAATCGACTGTACTGATAAAAGATAAAAATAGATATAGGAGTAGGCTGGAGGGAAGGTCTGAGCTAATGGGAGAAACTGGGAGAAATCACGTCAGGGCATAAATGCAGATTCCAGACTGCATTTTGCAGGTGAGAAGGGCCGATTCACACTTTCTTTCTATGTTCAAGTGCGTAAGTGATTCCAGTGCTATGCGTCCCATCACGGAAGCGACAAGTGTGAGTGTACTTGAATGAAGGAATAAAAGTAAAATCCCGTGATAGGTCCGACTGTGTCCTCTGAAATGTGATGAAGCGGGACAGGGATGGGGGGGGCCCACACGTGCTCTCAGAGGCAGATATAAACTGGTGATAACGCTTCAGCTCTCCCTCACCACCTCAAAAGTGCCACATTACCTCTAAGGAAAGCCAACTCAGCTTCCAGACAGATATGATAAAGAATAGCAAGTAAGTTTCTTAGCTGGGAAGAAGATTCAGAAGAAAGGATGGCCTGGAAGAGGGAGAGACAATTTTCATCCCTGCTATAACTAGGTTCACAGCTATAACTAGGTTCCCTTTCATTTGCTTGTTCGTAATAAGGAAGCTGGATGTTTGGATATTTAGGTCTGAGTCCTGCCTTCTTGAACCATGTTTTTGTGGTTGTTGACAGAATTTTTGTGAGAAAGTCCTCTCCTAAACAAACAAGTTTGAAGTATCATATACTGGCATTCATTATGATGGAATTTTACTATACTTTATGGCAAGTTAAGCACTTGGGTTTTTATTTTTTTTAACATTTTACTTATTTTTGAGAGACGTAGAGCAAGTTGGGGAGGGGCAGAGACAGAGGGAGACACAGAATCCGAAGCAGGATCCAGGCTCCGTCGGAGCTGTCAGTACAGAGCCAGACGCAGGGCTTGAACCCACCAACAGTGAGATCATGACCTGAAGTCGGATGCTTAACCAACCAACTGAGCCACTCGGGCACCCCAAGCTAAGTGCTTCTAATGCTGAGAGATCTTTCCTAAGAATGGAAAGGAAGTCAAGATAAAGAAACACTGTGGAGTTTGGGCATAAGTTCCATTCATATGGTAAATACTTAATCACATATCATAAATATTTTTTCTAGCCTGGTGATTTTTTTTTTTTTTTTTTGGCTCCCTTTCCTGGGAAAAACTTTGAGAGATTGCACACACGTGTGTGGGTTTCTGTACGTGGGAGGGTGGCAGGGGTAGGAAGCATGGGATATGCAAAGGCTAAGATAAATCATTTTACAGCAGACTGTGATTGGCAAGGGAACTGACAAGTTTAACTCCAGCTACATTTAAAGAGATATTATTAAAGGAGTACCTGACAGTAGCTTCGAGAATCCTAAATCTGTGTCTTGCAGTTTATCAGATATACTAGTTGCTGGGCTCCACTTCAGTGATGAAGAGAAATCCTTTAGCAGCTCTTCAGGAAGGTCCGCTTGCTCAAGAAAACCACAGAAAAAGAAATAGTCGTAAATATAAATTTTTCAGATAGAATATTTTTTACGTATTTTCAACAAGTTTCAAAGAGCGAAGCAGCCAAACAAGAACTTGGAATGTCTTCCAGTGCCCCACAATTCAGAATTCAGAGGATGCTGATGGCCGTTAAATGACAAGTCATTGTCTTGTTAATCTCACCCTTTAAACTCAAATGGAATCATATCCATGTGAATGATGTGTCCTTTAAACATAGTAAGTCTCAGTTTCCTCAGTTGGGAGAGGGAGCCCAGCATTAGATCACCCCAAAGTCCCTTCCAGCCCTAAGATCCAGAAAACCTGTGGTCCCTTCGCTGCTATGCTGGACCCAAAGTATCGGATGTATGAAGCTAGACACTAGCGGAATGGCAAGTAGTGCTAACGATTTCAGAGTTCAGGGCACAATAAGCATCTTGCCTTCTTTTTCCTTCATGGAGTGATCTGTCTTTAACAAAAAATGCGCTAGGGTTTTGACAGTCTTTCAGTGCATTTGATCAATTTATACCGGCAGTTCAAACAGTTCAAACCTCACAGGCATTTGTAATTAGAGACAAGTCATTCATAGAAGAAAGATAGACCAAAACATCCCACGACAGACCCTTTGGTCCAGGCTTCCTTTACACGTGAGCCCGTGGTGAGCCAAGACGAACAGGTACAAACCTCGAAATTATGTTCTCAGGGCTGAATCAAGGGGCCAGCAATGAAAGTTTTCAATGAACTTAGCCTTGTAGTTTGAAATGCAGTGAAGACAAAATCCAAATATTTGGGGGGAAATATAAAATAATCCTTTTGGTTGTTTGACTCTGGGCATAGCTTTATAAACAAAGATGCAATGAACAAATTTATTAGCAGCTATTTCCTCTTTCAGCTAAGGTCTTTGGGCCTTACTATAGAAATTACATTACATAATCATTACCTAATAAGATTATTATTTACCAACTACTTACTTTGCACAAGACACTATTCTAAATGGTTTCTCTCTCATATATGTTACATTATATATCATGCCATATATTTTATATTATATGAGAGAGGGAACGTATGTATAGATATACTCATGTAAGCCTTAATCACAGTCTTATGAGCACAGCTTTGGGCATCTCTGTTTCACAGATGGTAAGACTGAAACAGAGGTTAACTAACTACCTTAGCCAAAGTTCAACAGCGAATGAAGGGTCTTGCTGGAACTGAACCCCGGGCAATCTGACTCTAGAAGCCTTGCTCTTAACCACCGTGCTACACCACCTTTCTCATAATTATAAATACACAAAAGTCCGTTCCCTCCCCAAATAAAACTATCTTTCAAGTGAGACCCAATAGCAACACACTCTGTTGCTATAGGAGGAAATGAAGAAGCCTTGCTTGTGCTGCTCAAATTATGGTGAATCCTAAGGGGGGTGGGGGTGGGGGGTGGGAGATGGCCTGAACTTGAGCTTTGAGCTAGTTATGTAATTGCCAGGTCGTGTTTGGAAACCATACAGCTGATATCCACTATTGCAATATATAACCACATATGAATATTCTGCATAATATTATAACAGTGAGTCGAGTGAAAATTACAAACAGGATTTATACACGTAAGATAAGAAGTAAGAAGATAAAAAGTCAAAAAGAATTCGTCCTTAGTCCTAGTGAAGCAGGCTCACAGGCTTCTTTTGGGTGAAACCCTTGCCCAGACTTGACTCTTACTTCTGCCCATCAACTAACAAATGGCCTGGTAACAGGGAAGGTCAGACATGAAAATGAAAATACCATATAAAGCGGTCTGTTTCAGCCCAACAGATAGAATGTATCAATCTATAGATGCCTATATTGGGAAATATTTGATCTCAGAGTACACATTAAAAGACGTAGAGGTATACAGCTTAGTATATGGATTGCCTAGTTTTTTTCATATTGCAAGAAATTTCATTTAACAAGAGTACAGATTGAAATTCTTATAACTTGAATTATTATAGGACTCTATGCTGTCATTGCTTTGCTATGTTTTATTTCAAACCTACATTCTGTTTCAAGAGGGGAGAAAACAGTTTCCAAACAAATACACTTCAAGTTTTAGTTCATTTATATACAGAGTTCATTCAGTTTACCTAATAACATCCTTGAAGACCCAGTTAAAATACAGTTTATACTGACAGTCTTTCCCTTCATCCCGGCAGCTAGAAGTGCTTTTTCTAGCCTCTGAGTTCTGAAAGGACTCTATCTGCACGCTCCTCGGAGCATCGCTGGAGAGAAGGAAGGCAAGCGCACAGGCGCACAGGCAGGCAGGGGCGTGTAAAAGGTGAGGCCAAGAGCTAACAATCTGATTGGCCAGAGCCTCAGTTTCCGGGGAGGAGGCAATCTGATTGGTCAGAGCCTTAGTTTCCGGTGGGAGGGGTGGTGGTGACTGCAGTTGGGTTTGATTCTGACCATACAGGACCAAGGCAAAGGGTTTTGCCTGATTTGGCCAATAGAGGTCTTTAAACAGGATAGTTGACAGAACAGAAGTCTGGGGAGAGTGAACAGATAGATTTGAGGCTGGAGAGTCTATGGAGACCATTGAAAGGTTTTAACTGAGACGGTGGCCACTGGCAAGTGGCATACTTTGTCTTGCCTTTGCCACATACATGGGGAGAGTTACTTTTAACCAAAGAGAAACATAAAAACTCATCCCATGGCAAACACATCCAAATATTAAGATCTTATGGCACAAAAAGAAATTCGGGCTGAGGTGAAAGATTAGCCACAGGAAGTCACTCCCGTAGGACCTGAATTCAGTCCCTTCAGGGACAGCAGTTGAGTGGACTCACTGGTCCCATGTCTCCAGCGTGCTTACTCCTAACATGTGCCTTTCCACTTCTTCCTAAATGAGACTTCAGAGCCACAGAAGCTCAAAGACCTCCCAAGCCTTTGCTCGAAAGAAAGAGCCCCTCCAGATTTGGAGTGAATACACACCGCCCATGTTTCCACAGTGAGAGCTACATGGGCAGTGAGGGCGATTATCCATCTAATTCATTCTGGGAAATGAGCCTGTGCTAGGAAGAAAAAGTTCTTGAACTTGGATATTAGGAAGCTTTTTATAGAGCACGCCACCAGTTAACTTTTTTTTTTTTTAAGTTTATTTACTTATTTTCAGAGAGGGGGAAAGGGCAGAGAGAGGGAGAGAGAGAATCCCAAGCAGGGTCTGCACTTTCAGCACAGAGCCCGATGCAGGGCTCAAACCCACTGAACTGTGAGATCATGACCTGAGCCAAAATCAAGAGTGAGATCATGACTGAGCCACCCAGGTGCCCACCCCCCACCAGTACCTTTAAAGCTAGGGAAAACAAATTATATTTCTGGCAATATGTTAAAAATCTCTCAATCATATCTACAAAAAGTGATGATTCAGGTTTAAAATTATGACCTCAAAGTCTTGTCACATCTTCTAAACACTCCTCCAAAGATTAAATCCATTTAACAAAAAGTTGACCTTAGGAAGAGTTTATTGAAAATTAGTAATATACACATATAATTCTCTATGAGAACATATCTAAGTCAGAAAAATCCCATTTTCTATACATGCCAGTTATAAATTTACTGTATCTGATAATCAACTTCAATAATATCGTACCAAAAAAAAAAATTACATGCAACTAGATTCATAATAGTATGCTTTATCTGGCCTGCTACAAATTACTTGAGAGGGAAGAATAAAGATTAAAAGCATCAAATTTTACTTCTCACAAATAAATGTGAACACAACCTCAAAGCTATTTGTATAAAGATTTTTGGATATGTAAGTTAGCCTGTACTAATGAAGAAATCTAGAAAGGTAAGGTCATGTTTTACTTAAACTCTCATCTCAAAGAGTTTTATAAAACATCTATTATGCAAAGCCATCTGCCAGGACTATATTCAGATAAACGTAGGAGGCATTAAACACTCCCCACTATTCACCATTTGACCCATTTGGAGCCTGTTTTTTTTTTCCCCCACAAGAAAAATCTTGGTTCTGTAAAGCATTGGTGTGGGGGAAGTGGGTTCCTGGGAGACCCTCTGCCAAAACACACGGTGGTAACTGGCCTCCAAGTATGGATGCTCGAATTCCTTTCTCACCATTTGCTCATTCCTGGGAACAGACTGTAGAAAGCACCTGGGACCCAACTATGTTGTGCTCCAGAGAGGCCCAGAGGGCAAGTGTCAAAATCAAGCCCTTGTGAATAGTACTCAGGTGGAGAACATCCATCTCAGCATTTGACCTCCCACCGCTAAAGCTCCTTAGCCACCTTGCACGTTTTGTTCATGTCCTAACAATAGAAGGGGGTTCCGTTTCAGTAATGGATCAGGTTGCTTCAAATGAGGCAGAACTGCCATATTAAATATTTTGTGGAAAGAGGCAGCAGTGAATAAGCGTGGGGGGGGGGGGGGTTGGATCCCGGCATAGCCCTAAGTAAAAAAAAAAAAAAAAGCTAAATGTTTGAAACTGCAGGACTTGCATTCAGTTAACGCTATTGGCTAAAGCTGCTTGGCAATTTAAGTGTAAATTCCATGGCGCAGTGCAGCTCAGGCATCAGGATCCAGAGGGAACGATCCGGGTCAGAATACTTTTTGGAGGAGGGGTGGGTCTTGGATCTAGGAGAACCGTACAGAAGCAGATTGTTTTTGCTCTTCAAGAAATCAGAAAATAAGAAGACAATAGATCTTTTAGCTTTCTGCCTCAGAGGCAGCTGCTTTGCAGGCCAAACGACCCTGAGGTTCAGTTCATAAATGTGTCTGCAGATTCTCAAAGGAAAGGCTAAGTTATGTAAGTGTCGTAATCTAGTGCATTTTCATTTTTCATGAATAATTTACACCTCATGGTGAGAAACTTGGGTAGAATTCTTTTCTATGGAGCACCTAAAGACATATCAGCTCCAATTTTGTGCAGCTGAAGAGAAAATGTCAAGGGTCCTTATGTGGGACTTTACTGCCTGGTGGATTGTCCTACTTACTATGACTCAAATCCCATCCTCTTTTGCATTTTGATGGAATTTGGGGGGAATCTTTTTAGATTGAGAAGTTCTTTTCCCAGTAGTATTTTGGCTTCTGTTGATGGTAATAAAATCATGCTCAACTTTCCT